AAAAAAAAAAAACAAAGCCATTCATTCACTCACTCCCCCACTGCAGACCAACTATTCAACAACAGCTGGAACCATGACAAATGGTATAGAAAATATTCTTCAGATCCATCTGTACCAACCTAAGATTCTTCTACATACTCCTTTCCTTCCATACAAGTCCCAAGGCTACTCTTGTGTAGTCTAATCCTTAAGTGAAAGACTAGACTGAAAAAAATACATACGCATCATCTGGTAATTGATAAAGAATCAATTCCTTCCAATATCTGGAAGGTTCCAAGTCAATGTAAAACCTGCTTAAAGTAGTTTTAAAAGAATGCAACAATATATTAAGAAATATTAAGTATGAGATATTTATTAATGGTTAAGAAACAGATTATATACCTCAGATACTACTATGAAAAATCTGATATTTAATTCCTGATTGACCATATCAGGTAGAAAAAAAATTTAGTTTGCCAGACAGAAAATTCAGTATCTTTCACAAATGCCAAAAGCTTAATTGTCAAGTTTTCTATAATATTGGTCAAATCATACATTAATAGAGACGAAAAAAACAGATGTATGTGCAACAATTAGGTGACAACTAGTTCAAATTTTGTCAGTGTCTTAAAAATTCAGGTGAAGCCTACACTGTACAACATTCAGATAAGGGCACTGAGGACAAACACTTGACAATGATGTATCAGAAGAAACAAGGTCTAACAACTTTCTTCCTACAGTGAAATACAGTTAGTAAGTTAGATAGACCTTTTAGTCTCCTCTGTGGTATTTTTAGTAGTCAATTAGAAGGATTAAAATGCATTTGGAGTTTCCCAAATAAAGGATCAGATAGGAAGAAAGATAGGAAGTAATACAAAAAAGAAACCATCCATTATGTCTCAAGACCCAAACCACAAAACGATGTCAGGTTACCTCAATGTCACTTGTGAAAAAAGAATCTCTGAGTCAACCTTACTAAGCTTTGTTAAATAAATAAGAAAAAACATAATAAATCCATATATTATATGTTCTTCAGCTGATTTACTCATTGAATCCACAACTGCAGAGGGTCCATGAGGTATTATACCACTTACAATGAAATTTCTAAAAGAAGAGAAAAATATTCTTTGACCTCCAGGCATCTGCTAGTCAATGCCAGAAAAAGAACAAATTCAATACAGTACAGGTAATCCATCATGAGGAATTTAACACTCAAGAGAAGTTATAGATTGGGAAACCGTAAGTGCTAGTGGTTTTCTGAAAAATATTGAGATTTTTTGAGCAATAGGAAGTAAATGTAGGCAGGGGGAAACAAAAGAAGATAATAACTCAAGGATACCAATAAAAAACAAGGCATATAACTCAAAGTAGAGATGCACAAGCACCTCTAAGAGAGGTGCACAAGTAGGCGCCTAGGTAGAGAATGATGCTTTAGCAATCAGAGGCCAGAGAAGGGGACAGGACAATGGGTAAGAGCTGCAGATGGCTGCAAAAGAAGGTCTTACCTGGAGACTCTGAGCCACAAGTCTAAGGGACAGCAATTGATATTATCCAATGGGAATGTTCACAAAAAATACGGCCATATTATTTCATGAATAGAAGATATTTTATACTTACCCGATTTATATGGTTGCTCCTTAAAATAACCTGTAGTAGGGTTTTCTCAAATTCTTCCAACTTCTTGGAACACTTTTTAAGAATATGATTAGATAAGTTACAATCACTGATCAGTCCAGCTAAAGTATCAACAGCTTCTGTCCAAAAGCTCGAAAAAGGAAATTTGGGTTTACGGTAAAAAGTGATCAGGCCATCCAGCAACCGACAAACAGAATGAGATACTGTGGAAAAGTCATTTTCAAAGTGGCTTAAGTCTGTTTTCAGACTCCCTGATTCTGTCAAGTTCTTCAGTTCAAGTAGATGTTGCAAGAATTGCATGTGGGAAGACAGAGGGTTTTCCACAGTGGCACCATGTCTTCTCACAATGGGGAGTCGTAGAGGGGGTGTGGGGGTGCAGCTCTCCACAAAATTCTGGGACATCTCTGAAGGTTCACTTCTCTGCTCATTTGATAAATCACACCCAGAATCTTCCAGCAGATTTAATGTATTTTCAGAACTGCTAGGTTCCTGAGCTTGAAATTGGGAAGATGGGTCTCCTGGAAACAGAAAAGATTAGAAGTGTTACCTTTCTATTGCTAAAATTTCTTCATATAAACACTAGACATTGATTTTCCTAACTTAAAATACTAAATGAAGCATGCAGATACATATTAAGCATTTAAAAACCAGGGGTGTAAAAAATCAAATAGAAGAGAAACTGACAGAAATTGCTTAAGCTGACCATAGAAAGTTCTTTCTCTTTACTAATAGAAATCAAAGGTGATTCCCCCATATATTTTCAGGTCACTATCTCTCATTCAACTATGTGCCATGCTTGAAAGATACAGAGAAGAAACCACAAGACCTGAAGGAGGTAACTACAAAGCAATATGGTGTATCCAGAGATAGAGATTTACTCAGGGCACTATGAAAACAGGAGGACCACTGAACAGCACACCCTGTTGGATCAGTGCATCCTAGAAGAGGAGATAGTGGAACTAATTTATAAAGCATAAGTAGGAGCTCAAAGTGAAAAGTTAGGGAAATGCAGGAAGAGAATTCCATATACCAAAGGGGTAAGAGCTAAAGCACAGATTTAAGAAGGAAAAGAAAAGCACTGTGTATATAAGGACCCACAAGTGGTTTGATACTCCTTTACAGAAAAATATAAGGCAAGATACTAAAATAAATATGTAGAGGCCAGTGTAGAGTGAGTGTAATTCAAACTTGAATTATGTAAGACCCCTTTGGAAAAATTATATACACATCCACACATATACCTGATATACAAAAATCATTATCTGTAAGCAACTTCTATATGTATACGTACTTATAATTATTCAAGTATACCCATATCTGTATGGAGAGATAAACAGATGGATAGATAGAACTAGATCTCATAGATCCTTGAAAGTATGCCGTAAAACACTAGAATCTTCTGACGTTGGCTGAGAAATACTGCAGTTAAAGCTAACTTAGTAATTTTAGGTCATTCTTTTACAGAGATGTCATCATAAGCACAAATAAGGTTATCATCTGTAAAATGATTATCAGTAAAATATACATGCAAAATTGAGAACTTCTCATTGAACATTCTAAAGCACATGCATATGTCTATGAAGCCAAGTTTGGGAAATATTGCTGCCAGCAAGGAAAGAAGGAATGGGACACTAAATGGTAATGCAGAAAAGTGAAATGGTCTTATTTTTCATTTCACGGATCACTCACTCTGTTGGCTGTGTGAAGGGCAGATTTGAGGAGGACACAATGACACTGAAGAACCAGTTAAAAGGCACCTCTATTAGTCCTAATAGCCGATGACTAAAGAAATGAACCAAGCAGTTGCTGTGGAAGAGAAAGGGAGGAACTGACTAGGGAAATAAATACAAAACCTCAAATTAGAACCTAGAAGCCAGCGGTTTGGCTGGAAATGCACAATGAAGTGGGAGAAGGAATAAATGCATCCTTTGTTTCTGACTCAGGTGGCTGGAGAGAGGACAGCGTTACTAACTGAAATGGTAAAAATACAAACAAAAAACCTGGCTTAGGAGAAATCATGAGAATTCAGGTTTGGTCTTGTAAACTGTGAAGCAACTGGAGGAAGTCTAGGCAAAGAGAGTCACCTGGAAATTGGCCACATGAGCCTATAGGTGGGGAACAGGTCTAGACTAAAAATACATTTCAGGAATCATCAGTGTGTAGGTGATATCTGCAGTTATGAAAATGGTTATGATCACTTGGACAGAGTATGAGCAGTGACTAGAACACAAGATCAAAGAAGGACACTGAGGAGTATCAATATTTGAGGGCTGAGTAAAGAAAAATAACACAATTACTAAGAAGACAGAGAAGGAACAATTAAAGAGGTACAAAAGGAATAATAAAAATGATTTTGTTATGGGGGTGCCCGGGTGACTTAGTCACTTCAGTGTCCGATTCTTGATTTTATCTCAGGTCATGATCTCAGGGTGCATGAATTTGAGCCCCACATCGGGCTCTGTACTGACAGTGCAGAGTCGGCTTGGGACTCCCTTGCCACTTGCATTGTCTCTCTCTCAAAAATAAATAAATAAACATTAAAAAGTGATTGTGTTATGAAAGGCAAGGAAAAAGTTTCAAGAAGAAGAATTACATATAGTATAAAAGTCCATAAAACAAAAAGCTGAAAAAAATATGCTGGAATCACTCATTAGAAAATCACCAGTGATTGTATCCACAGAAACTCTGGCCAGTCAGGGTGGTGGACAGAGGCCAGAGTGCAATGGGAGTGACTGGGCAGAAAGTCTGAGAAGAAAAGCCAAGGCTTCTGAGGAGTTTGTATCAGTAGAGTATAAAATGGGAGAGTAATTACAGGCAAATGTTGTATGTCAAATTGGGAGAAACTCAAGCAATTAACAGACTAAGAAGAAAAAAAAAATAACACAGAAGCAAAATCTGGAGATATGAGAAAAAATTAAAAATTCAGGTGGGGTGCCTGGGTGACTCACTTGGTTAAGTGTCTGACTTCAGCTCAGGTCAAGATCTCACGGTTCATGAGTTCAAGCCCTGCTTTGGGCTCTGTGCTGACAGGTCACAGCCTGGAGCCTACTTTGGATTCTGTCTCTCTCTCTCTCTGCCCCTCCCCTGCTTGCACGCTCGCTCTCTCTCTCTCTCTCTCTCAAAAATAAACAAACATTAAAGAAAAAAAAAAGCCAGGTGGGGCTTGGCCCTGGGAAAGGCAAAGGGAGACAGAGTCAAAGACCCCAGCGAATGGGTTGTCCTTAGCGATGGAGAAGTTTTATTTATTTTCTTCTGAGGCTGAAGGAAAGAGAATGAGAATGTATAGGGATGAGAAAGAAAACGAAAGAAAGAAAGAAAGAAAGAAAGAAAGAAAGAAAGAAAGAAAGAAAGAAAGAAAGAAAGAAAGAAAAAGAAAGAAACCCTTGGCATACAGGAAGTTAAAAGAGATCTCACCTAATAGTCATCTTTTAAAGTTAAAGACAGGGGGAGACTCATTGAACAGGGCATGGGAAGAATAATGAAAAGAAAATCTACCCTCCCACCTTAGATTTAGAAATCTACCTGATTTGTTGCTCTTTAGTCCTTCAGTACAATTAGAAGGTGATGATGAAGCAAAATCGGAAGATCAGGCTTTAATTTAGACTTCATTCCATTAACAAGTGCCTACTATAACCAAAAATGTGGCCATAACCAAACAGTAAACTACCAGCAAAACTTTTAACTACGTGTGGCTATTTCTATACTAAAACAGGCACGCAGTCTGCTTGTTTTAAGCCAACAGTTTCTTTATCTTATGAGCAAGAATAAATATTTGAAATGACTTCTCACTCTTCACAAAAGTAAAGGGTGGGGATGACAGTAATTATTTAGGTAGATTATATTTTTCTGGAATTCAAAATGGTTCTTTACTAAGAAAATGAACACAAATTTAAATATTTTATGAACCTACTCAATTTTCCATCAAGTAAGCTGAATGAACTTCATGGGTGATGATTTCAGGGAAGACATAAAATGAATTCGCCTAACAACTATACCGGGAAGCAAAACACTGTTTTATTTCTGCTTTTTACTCCGCAGTGGTGCACCTTCTGGCAAGTCACAACCACTCCATCTCATCTCTTTCATGTGCTGATAGGTACATCTTTGCAGGGAATGGTTCTACCCATGCATGTGCTACGGGCATAGAAATGCACAAACTGACCGTCATTCTTCCTGGCTGTTCAGAAAAGGCTGATGAGGGCATATATTGGAGACACCAATGCAGAAAACCACACAGAGAGGAATGTCCTTTCGGTGCCCAAAAGGAATGCACAAACTCCTCAAGAGAGGGCCACAGTGAGATTTTATGAAATATAGACTTAACAGTATTAAAGTCACTTTGTCAAAATGAATACAAGAATCTTATATTCACATTTCACTTTACAAAGCAGTTTCATGATAATAATTCGATTGTTGTTTCAAACAACCTTTGAACATGTGTTATTATTATCCCTAATTTAGCAATAAGGAAACGCAGGCTCAACTTGATTAAGAGGTCTAAGAAAAGCCACCGAGGGATAAGCAAAACCAATTACTCAGTTCCAAGTCCAATCACTTCTAACCACACCAAAAGGGTCCCTGTGTCCCCACACCAGCTTCTGTACATACCTCCTTAAAGGAGCCTTATATAACTCATGCTGCTCAGATGCTGCTCACTTGCTTGGATAACTTTTCTCAAAGTAAATCTCGAAATTGGACTAACAAAGCATCGGACCCAAAGGAGAAAAGAGAAGATGAAGCCCTGCTACTTACTGCAACTTTCTGTAATTCCTGTTTTTTTCAGGAGGGACTAAGGTGAAGCAGAAATCAAATAACGCTTCTCTCTTAATTTGTTATTGGGCTGAAGGGACAGAGGGCTGTAATTTCTCTCCAAGTCATTTGATATGATCCAACCAACACGTGTGTCATTAGATTGAAAGAGATAATAAAGAATGTGCACACACATCCTAATCGAGCAGAGTCCAGCACATATTAAATGCTCAGAAATACTACCCACTGTTATTAAATGATAATAGGCACCAAGAATCTTAATTATGCTAAAGTGTGACATCAGATGTCAAAGTACATAAAATAAGATACCAACTAAAACTACAGATTCTGTCTAAAATATTCTGTAGTCCCTCTTCTATCCTGGACCTCAAAGACTTTCAATTCCATTTTATGGGGCCCTTGTCTCTTCTATCTTCTTTCAGTTATTAAATTCCATCCTAACCCCGCTTACCATTTAAGAGTGGATCTCCAGCATGCTCAAATAGAGCTGGTGCCCTCCTGCTACACAGCCTACCCCAGAAATGCCCACCCCTGAATCAAATGTATTTTCTGCAGCCTCCCAATTTTTCACATCCACATTGATTCTTGCATCACTTATAAAATTACACCATAGAGGGGCACCTGCATGGCCCAGTCAGTTAAGTGTCTCACTCTTCGTTTCAGCTCAGGTCATGATCTCACGGTTCCTGAGTTCAAGCCTCGTATCGGGCTCTGCACTGTTAGTGCTGAACCTGCTTGGGATTCTCTT